CTCTCTCTCTCTCTCTCTCTCTCTCTCTCTCTCTCTCTCTCTCTCAGTAACACTAAATTTAATTGAAAATATTATTTATTTAAAAATTGCCATCTTGTATATATATATATTTCATTATGTTATATGGGGAAAGGGCTTTACATAAGTTGGACAACTTGTGCCCAATCCCTTTTGCATATTAGATGCAAATAAAAATATGTTTAAATCAAATCGTGTTATCGGTTTCCGCGCATTGAAGAAACAGTCGCGATTTCGTATTCATATCGATAGAAAATTGTTGAACTTATGGATGACTGTCAAAGACATGTACACAATCTACTAATGGAAACAAAAAATATCAACATATAACTGTATTTTCAACAAATTTCTCCCATCGGAAGTAGCCGTCATATGTTTCCGTGTGTCTATTTTGATTTAGTGTTCAAAGAAAGAAAGAAAAATTATCCACAGTTTACAGACGATGGCCAAACATCTAAAATATCCTTGTATAGTGTCCAGCAGGTCACGTAGTAATGAGATATAGCTTGATAAAACGGCTGCGCGGAAATATATAACGCGCGGAAACCTATGACTAGATAAATATTATCAGTTTTTGATTTCTGGCGTTCAAGAAATGTGTATATTGTTATAACTATTTGATGACACCACTTCTTCAAACATCCTCATTTAATTGTGTTTAATCATAATCACACGGAGGTCGTTGATAAGTGATATTGACTCGTTGTTTCTATTTTTAGATACAATGCTCTCTGAAAAATACAGAATTTTGACAATTTACTTATCATCCGCCTTGTTTAAATATATATAAAAAAAGATAAGTTCATCTCGTCTCGGTCAATATCCATTTCTCATATTAATTTTATAGTCGGATATTAACTTTATCGAAAGTCCTTCAAAGCTAATAATTTCCCAAAAGAATCGATTAAGGTTGGAGTATTTCTAATATATTTGCACAGGTTGTTCCAAGAATTGTGTGTTGTTATTTGCAGTTTTTAATAATTTTGTCTTATAGTTGATTTGAGTTATGAAAGTTGGGCGTCTGATCGTCTTTCTTCAAGTTCAGGTAATAACGATTCACGTAAATTGATGTTGTGCCAGGAACGATAGCTATCCGTTTCTTTCCGAAGTTTGATTTATCAACTGTTCACATTGACAGTCTGGAAGCCATGAATTCCTGCTGCGTCAGACGGGTTTTTTTCTACACTTTTACAATCAATTACACCACAATTTCACATCCGTATATTTTGGTTATTTCGTGTGGTCGGACTGGTCTAGCCAGTGTCATATCGGTCATAACAGGGTGGGGAGGCAGGACTGTTATTACAATGAACATAAAAGACAAAGGGAAATAGGAACAAGTGTCACAGACACTTATGTAAACCTATTCTGTCTTTGCGTATTGCAGAGTTATCTTCTCTTGTGAGCAGGTATTGATTGTTACGCCATTAGTTTGTGTGAGAAAATTACGTCGTTTTCTCAAAAATTGATGACGTTACTCTCACAAACAAATGACGTAACAATCAATACATACTCACAAGAGAAGATAACTCTGCAATACGAAAAGACGGAATAATATATACCAATAATTAATGGAAATAACAATAGTTTAAACTTCCTTAGAGTAAGGTGGTTGGGGTAAGATATATATTGTACAAGTTTACATGTCATATTATTCAGTTATAGAAAATCTGCCAGTTTTAAGAATATAATTATGTACAGCTAGAAATATTAACTTATTTTCAGCCAATGAAAACGAATCATCTCCAAATAATAATAAATCCAAAGTAATATTATGGGCAAACATTGTAGGTAGCGTCCATTCCAATAAAAAAAATGTGTATTGTCTTCGACTTCACCATACACGCATACTGGAGATGGAGCAATATTTTTAGCAAATAAATGACCATTTAAGGAGCTACAGTCCGTTCGTATTCGTGTGTGATATAGGTACCAACGTTGTAATAGGTAGGCGTTTTCTTAGTATGTTGCTTGTCAGTATAGTATTTTAAAGCAGAAGTAGACGGATTTGATCGTACATTTTGTGGAAGACTATTCCACCTTCCGATACAGTACTTGGGATAAGGCTATATATATATTCAGGTATATATTGATAGAACATTTTATGGAACTGGATAATTTTATGATTTTGCCTCCGATCGAATAAACTGACCCAAGCTGATTCATTGAAAAGTTTGTCAATACTTACTAATTTAGTTGCACCTGTTACAATTCGAGCGGCTTCAATATTGAGGTTTTCAAGTTTCTTTCCCAACTCATTCGGTATGTTCCCCCAAACTATATTTCCATACTCAAGTAGAGGTCTTATAAATGTGATTTTAAAGTATTTCTATCAAGCTGGAATTTTAAGGTTCGCATGAGGTTAAGTATAGGGGATTTGGCAGGGTTTTCTAAAGTCCATCCTCGATATCCAGGGGTTACGCTCATGTCATAGCAAAATTGAAGGCATGCAACTAGCTATTTGATTACCGACTTCAACGCCTGTCATTTTTTTACCGTTACGCGACCGCGAGATTCCTTTGATGTGAAGTCTTCTCGTCTCATCTACAAGGTGCTGCACATTCCAGTAAAGAGTATGTAGATCGTACCGGATTTCGTAACCCTTGGCTAGCGAAGATGATTCCAGGGGTAAAGAGAGCGAAAGTGAGTGTAACCCTGGATATTGAGGATGGTGTTGCGTCGACAATTCAAATAAACAGCAAAATACCGACAAACAGTTACATATTTAATTTTATACAATACTTACGTATGCGATGCTAAATTATATTTATCTCGAAAACATAATTGAATTATGGTATTTAAAATGAAAAACAATACTCCATATGTTAATATATACACATAGGAAAATCATCTCGATATACTCCCTCAGATTACTAGGGTGTGAAATTTGTGTACAGGTTAATAACAACTAAACACACCTGTGTTCAGTGCTGACAGCGGGATGCCCAATACACACCTTTATACCTTTGTCCAGGTATGACACCAAAAGGATGTCAGCAGGTGGGCAAGTGGGTACCTGGAGTTAGTATGTAGATTAAACAATGTCCTCGGGATAAATAACGGGGAAATGAATAAGGATCCATTTAGAGGAAAATATGCATACATAAAATACGTTAAAAGCAGTGTCAAAGAATCACGTTATAAACAGTACAACTGCATCACCCGACAGATGAAGGTCAGGAACACAGCGAACAATGACGGACCATACATGTTATGCACAGTATATCTGATCAGGTGTTGCAATGAAAAATTACTGTGAGACTTGAACGGACAGGTTCTCCCTCTACAAGATTCTTAACTATTGTAATTATTATTGTACAAATGAAAGAAGTACATTTGTAAACTTCATTAAACTCTCTTGATTGCATAAAGTTTGTTTTTTGTTTGTTTGTGTTTTTTAAACCACCGACCTGGCGACGAATTACAGACGTTTCGCCCCAAAACCGTTTCGCCCCCGACCATTTCGCCTCAACTTTGTTTTACATCGCCCCAATTTTCAGTTCATTTCGCCCCAAGTATGACAACCATAACGCCCCAAAATCTGTTTCGCCTTAAAATTCTTTATCGCCACAACCGCTACGGACCTATATTGAACGAGTTCTGATCGTATATGAAAGTGGCGGTAATTATTGTCAGTTTCACTCAATTGGCATTAATTTTTGTTTTAATTTAATAGTTATCAGTTTGCGTATTGATGAAAGAGATCGTCAGTCAATTTGTGAAAAATAAAAGCTATGCCTAATTATGTGCCATTACATTAGAAGCATTTTCGGCCCGGGCTTCATCAGTTGGGGAGTAAACATACTGTTCGTACCCTCTAAACATTTATCAGCATGAATATCAGCTATTTCAAATTTTCCACGATGAAGAACGAAACTGATAAAGTTAGTTTGAAATATTACATATTATATACGTCTCAGGTAGAATGTAACTTGGCAGAACACGATTGATTTTTTTATAGTTATTTTTTTTTATAATTTGGTAATGAAAAATAAAAATAATACTTATGTGGAAAAAGAAGAGGATCTATATATACAAATATAAGTACACACTCTCTTTTGCAACACAAACAACAAAATGGATTTTTATTTTTTTCGATCGAGGGCACGCGTGTATACAATCTAATTATCTTATACACTTATTGTATTATCTAAAATATAGAAATACATGCCTAACATACATACTGTAGATATGGTAAGTTATCGATCTACGGCACAAGAATAATGTCCTAAACATCAAACGAATTGCAACAGATCTTATTTTTTTAATTCTTATCTTTACGATTATTACATAAAAGGTAGATATTTCACTTTAAAATTTGTCAAATAAGTGACTTTCATCAGAGACGTATATATTAGTATTACAATGTTAACAGCTTTGGGCGTTTCGGTTTTGAAGCGAACCCACGTAGGCCTCGAACCCGCGACCCAGTGGTGGAGGGCTAGTGATCGCAGAATGTCGGACGCCTAAACAACTTGGCAGAAAGAATAAAAATATCGAAATTATCAACTTCCCTCTATATTCATACTTATTCTCAATGTTTCAAGTTTTAATAACTGGGGAAAAATAATTGGGTTGCTGCTCATTTTGAGTGTGAATTATTGTACCGGTTTTTTGTCAATTTTAATCGCACATCTCCCGCATATTATTAAGAAATGGCTTACGTTAATTCGACTCAATTTTTAATCAATTGCCAGTGGCGTAGCATACATGTATACAATAAAATTTTCGAGATTTGTTTTATCATTGCTTTTTAAAAAACAACAAACAATGGGCATAGGTAATTTCAGTATTGTGACGTGTCACTGTCGCCCTTGAAAATAATGACGTCGTAATACAGCATTGTCTAAATATTTGGCGGGAGATTGATTATCTGTTATTTACGTAATTCATCTGAGGTTCATGGAAACTTATACCTTCATAAAAAATTGTAAACTGAATATTTCAAAACAGTTATACCGGTATGGTATGTCTTGATTTGTGTTATCGTATCTTTCATTCTCATGAACATATCTAATTATTCACCCATCAAACGGTATATGTTTTAACCCCTCTCTTAAATATAGCTATTATTCATTAATAAACAAAAAAATATTTGTATACACCATTACCTATTCAATTACTTGATAAATGTACATAAAGAAAATATTTATGATGAAATATTCCTGCAAAGTTAGAAAATTGAATTTACGTCAAGTACATTGCGTAATTCCCAACACAAGGGTATTTGGTTAAATCGGCCAGGTCGATTTCTGATTTTACCCAAGTGAAATCGGCCCTACTATGTATATATGTGTTAAATACATGGGATATATATTTATAAGTACAATTATATTTAAATAAATATGTTAAAGGATTTATTCAAGACAAGGACATGATAAATTGTTACAGCTATATTTTGACCTAAACTAGTTGGGACAGAGACATATAAAGCCAGTAGCATTTGAACTATGCGTCTCTGGTTGGGGATCGGTATATCTACGTCATGTGAGGTCCAAACCTTCATCATGTGGTTGAATTCTCAACAGAGACGTATACTACGGCACCTGTGGTCATTCCCATTTAAAACTTCCCGGCAACTTGTCACATTTCAAACATCTCAAAGACCAGGATTAGCAAACGTGTCCGAGGCGAACATGCGCATGACAGAAGAAATGAAAGACGGAGAGATGTAACCTGCCTTCCAACCAAAACATTGCAGCTATGTTCAAGAAATTACGAAACAGGATTGAGCAGGGGGTTGCTCAGACACCCCTTAAGGGAGCCCTTGGTACTGCATCAAAGGTAACAGTAGAATCGAGTTGTATCGATCCCGGTTGTACAACAGGTGTTGATGTGTTGACATTGCTCCCCCCACTCAACTTTCACTATCGACGCTTCATCTCGATTTGTCTTCGTGTCATATGTATGTCTTACAGTATGATTAAATGGGTGTTTTTTTTCTCGCTGGAGATCGAAAGGTTGTTCTTATGTCCATGTACTTGCTTATTTGTCGCAATGTATCTCATAGCTTCTAGCTGACCGTTCCTCAACTTGCTCAAGTCCGAAGCCGGCCAAATTTTCTTGAATAATTCATGATCACTTACCTGCGCTACCAGTTTCGATCTTTACTCCTACATATTTTGATGATGAACACAGTGGCCTTCTTATTTGGTGTTCATGGTCTAGAGCACATTGATCTGTGACTTCTCTCAAAATGCTTGAACCCTTATTTTATAACTTTATAAATATCTTGGTTTAGATATTAAAATGTAGCAGTTTTCTTACATAAATAGTAATATATTTTATTTTTCCACGTAACCACTCCTGTGTTCTGTCGGTTGATATGTGACAAAATGAAAATACACTAGGAAATATGTATTAAAAGATATTGTTCAAAATGTTGGTGGGCACCTGGCCAGGTACTTGGTCAAAACTTTCCCCAGGACTGACACAAGACTTCCAAATCCCTGATCATGATTAACTAGGGACTGTAGACCCTGTTATAACCTACTTGACCCTCGTTTAAGACCACATGAAATTACCAAACCTTATATATAATTAGGATGCATGCCCTGTATGCCTAAAAGTAACCCGAAGGGAATTTTCCAACTCCCTGCCACTAGGTGGCATTGCTATTTATATTAATAATATCATAATACAAAAATGGCTGTCTCACAAGACACGACAAACCTGTTCCTGCTACCAAAATTTAACTAACCACTAGGGCTGCGACAATTAGAAATAATGCTAGTCGGTTATCCGAACCAAAACGGGGTAACTGTGTTTTTTGTGCAAATAAATACCGGTACACCAACCAATAGTCCTTTATTTTGATAAAAATATGATTACTTAATTCACTAAATGCATAATAAAAGATAACTTAATACTTAGTCTTTGTAAAACATTGCAAATTCTCAAAATCTTTATGAATAGGCTACATATTGCTAGCCTCCCGACTGGGAAATTTCCGTAGTTTCACTTTACACTCATGTGTTGTCAACATTGTTCAACCAAACGTCGGTCGTTTTATTATGTTAGTTTATTGCATACACTCGATGGTATGGCAAGTATACTGATCACAAGAGCAAATATACTGATCACAAGTGTTTTTCGAAGTCTGTCAAACAGCAGTCAGAAAAAACCTTTCTGACTGGGAAGACCAATAAATATTGACCCAACATTTTGGGAAGGTTTTCGGGTACGTAGACTTACTAACTGGATAGTCCTCATAACCGAACTGCAACTGGGTACACGGTTACCCGTTCCACTCCTACTAACCACACAATGACATATCAATACACAAACACAATATAGCTCTATATACAGTATACACTGCTCATGACTATAACCATGTAGCTAAAGAATTATTACAGTTCCAATATATTTGTATGTGGGAAAGTTGGGGGGGGGGGGGGGGGGGGNGTTGCATTTAGGCCAGGAATAACATTTCTGACACCTTTTCAGCAGCCAAAGAAGTTGAACGACTTTCATGCATAAATGTTTTTAAAATGAAATAATCTATATGTACCTAATCTAATTTTCAACTTTTTAGCTTTTACTCTTATTTTCAATCTCTTAAAGACTTTTTTTTCTCTAAAAAATGGTGAAAATGGGTTTTGTCCTATTTAAAAAACAATCTTTTCATTTTCAGCTTGACCATCCTTTTGACCATCAATGATCATAATTTCATTGCTGAGAATTGGCACTGCATGATCACACGTATGTGATAATCAGTTTTTTGTGTTTGATTGCAATTGAATTGTCTGTACAACATTGTCATTGTAGGAGGATTTATCACAGAGTCCGCAGCCCATAGCCGAAAGCACACCAAAGAAAGCCGAGAATGTCAACAACTCCAAGGCAACACCTGACACGTCGATGGGGGCCACGCCTGGTAACCCGGCTGTGGGACAACTTGTCGACATTCCACTGCAAGATACTCCAGATAATTCCACAGATGTAGGTTAAACATTATTAGCTTTACACCGTATAGAATTATTAAAAGTTGGTTAACAGAAATACGTTGACATTTTAAATGCTGGACATCAAAATGAGAAGGGAAGTAACTCTCAAGCAATACATTGGCATTATACATGGTGGACATTAAAATGAGATATGATTATTTTGACAAGGGAAGTAGCTCTACATGCAATAATACATTGACATTTTAAATGCTGGACATTAAAATGAGATAGGATTATTTTGACAAGGGAAGTAACTCCACGGGTAAATCATTGACATTATGAATGCTAGACATAAAAATGAGAGATGATAATTTTGACAAGGGAAGTAACTCTACAGGCAAAACAATGCTGGCCATTAAAATGAGAGATGATTATTTTGACAAGGGAATTAACTCTATGTGAAAACATCCATTTTGTTTTCCCATTTTCTGTAGAGAAGGGAAATTACTCAAAGTAAATAAAAAATGAACAAAGACAAAAATCTGAAATCAAACTCTTTTATTTTTATTGTATGTACAAACAGTTTGGCTTTACTAAAAAAAATGCCTTTCACACATAATAATATGTTTCAAACCTTTTATTCAAAACATGGATCTACCAATACCAATAGATTTTGTGTCAGTAACAATCAACAAGTAAACATCTGTCTCTCCATTTTAGTTCACCTCGGCCTTGTCCTCCCTGCCAGGACACGACGACACGCCGAGGATGTCACGATCGCGTACCTCATCTATAAGTTCTGTAACAAGCGACAGCTCGTTTTTCAACACTAATATCACATCTCAGCACTATTACCAGTTACCATCCGATGTTGAGAGTGAGGTTGAAGAAACGTCAAACCTGGACGGATACACGAAGGACGACTTGTATATGGTTGTCCGCAAGTTTGAACGTCGATCTATCAAGTATAAAAGTAAATTTATGGAAGTAAGTCTAATTTACTGAATCAATCAGTCATTTGAGAATTTTGTTCAAATATTTTTTGATATGGTACTATGTAAAGGGGTATAAAAAACAATTTCAAGGCACTTGAAAAACTTGTTCGTTTTCAGTAACATGTCTGAAAAAACATAAGATAGGACTTTAACAGTGTACCCTTGAAGTTTGTCAGAAAACGTTCAGGGTGGGCAGGTAATATAAGGGTAGATAGGATAACAGAAAACAAAACATTTCTTCTATTTGGTCTTGTGCATTATTGCATATATATATATTTACCAAAACATTATCTTTTGTATTATGAATGTAAACAGTATTTCTAAACCCTTTCACCACTGTAGACCATACTGGACTCATCCAGATCAATGTATGGTAGAGTCTGCTAACGTTACCTAGGGTGATAGTGTTAACTAAAAACTTCTTTTCAATATTCCTGACTGATGGATCATTATAACACTTGTACGGTAATTATTTTTTACAGGTCGCCAATATATACAAAGACTTGGCCCAAGAAAGAGACAAGCTTAAGGTAAACAAAACCACAGATTTCCCTAATATATACTCTTAGAATAAAACCAAGATGTAAATATTTCTAGTGCAGTCAAACGATTATGATACATGTCAGTGTGTTCTTATTTTTTTTGTCCTTAAAACATATACACCAACAAGGCAGTAGTTTATTTGAATTTAGAAGGCTCTTACCGAAAATAAACCATAAATATTTTCAATACAGTCAACATTTAGGCTGATATAGTGTTAAACATGTTAGTCCCAAATGTGTTCCAATTTTACTTTGTCCTTTGAATCACCTGGCTATACCATCAGGGCATCCATTTTTTTGTTATTTTAAAAGACACTAACCTGCATTGCATTGGAGTTAATCTTCACATTACTTTAAATCAACTCATTTTCATGATTGCACTTCAAAGGATTTTACAAGATTTTAATTAGCAAGAGGAACAGTAAGATCAATTAGGATTTGTGATGAAATTTGTCACAAACTCTGAAGGAAAATCTATATCTCTAAAAAACATGTCAAGTGATTTACTGTTTTGTTTGTGGTTGATGTATGTAGTACAATTTATTTTTATTTTTTAGAACACATTGACACAGACTCAAGATCGGGCGTTCAGAAGGATCTCTGAATTAAAGGAGCAGATCCAGTTAGATGTGATGGCCAAGCGTGACTTAGAGGAAAACTACAGACTGATGTTAGATGAAAAGGATGAGCATATGAAAGTTTTCCAAACTCAGGTACGCTAACGTCAGGTCAACACAGGCATGCTGATGTCAGATAAACAAAGGCACACTACCATCAGATACGCTAACGTCAGGTAAACACAGGTACACTACTGTCAGGTACGCTACTGTCAGGTAAACACAGGTACGCTAATGTCTGGTATACACAGGTACACTACTGTCAGGTACGCTACTGTCTGGTAAACACAGGTACGCTAATTTCAGGCATGCTACTATCAGGTAAAAACAGGTACACTTCTGTCAGATATACTACTGTCTGGTAAACACAGGTACACTACTGTTAGGTATACTACTGTCAGGTAAACACAGGTATGGTACTGTCAGGTAAACACAGGTACACTACTGTCAGTTACACTACTGTCAGGTAAACACAGGTACGCTAATGTCTGGTAAACACAGGTACGCTAATGTCAGGTATGCTACTGTCAGGTAAAAACAGGTACACTACTGTCAGGTATACTACTGTCAGGCAAACACAGGTATGCTACTGTCAGGAATGCTACTGTCAGGTATGCTACTGTCAGGTAAACACAGGTACACTACTGTCAGGTATACTAATGTCAGGTATGCTACTGTCAGGTAAAAACAAGTATACTACTGTCAGATACGCTACTGTCAGGTAAACACAGGTACACTACTGTCAGGTAAACACAGGTACACTACTGTCAGGTATACACAGGTACGCTAATGTCTGGTATACACAGGTACACTACTGTCAGGTATACTACTGTCTGGTAAACACAGGTACACTACCATCAGATACGCTACTGCCTGGTAAACACAGGTACGCTAATGTCAGGTATGCTACTGTCAGGTAAAAACAGGTACACTACTGTCAGGTATACTACTCTCTGGTAAACACAGGTACACTGCTGTCAGGTATGCTACTGTCAGGTTAACACAGGGACACTGCTGTCAGGTAAACACAGGTACGCTAATGTCAGGTATGCTACTGTAAGGTTAACTCAGGTACACTACTGTCAGGTAAACACAGGGATGCTACTGTCAGGGAAACACAGGGACACTGCTGTCAGGTATGCTACTGTCAGCTTAACACAGGTACACTACTGTCTGGTAAAAACTGGTATGCTACTGTCAGGTAAAACAAGGTACACTACTGTCAGGAATGCTACTGTCGGGTAAACCCAGGTACACTAATGTCAGGTATGCTTCTGTCAGGTAAAAACAGGTCCACTACTGTCAGGTATACTTCTCTCTGGTAAACACAGGTCCACTGCTGTCAGGTATGCTCCTGTCTGGTATGTTACTGTCAGGGTCAAACAGGGACACTGCTGTCAGGTAAACACAGGTAAACTACTGTCTGGTAAACACTGGTATGCTACTGTCAGGTATGTTACTGTCAGGGAAACACAAGTACACTGCTGTCAGGTATACTACTGTCAGGTATGCTACTGGCAGGTAAAAAAAGGTACACTACTGTCAGGTAAGCTACTGTCGGGTAAACACTGGTACACTACTGTCAGGTATTTTATTGTCTGCCAAACACAGGTACACTACTGTAAGGGAAACACAGGTACACTACTGGCAGGTAAACACAGGTACACTATTGTCAGGTTAACACAGGTAAAGTACTGTCAGGTAAACACAGGGATGCTACTGTCAGGTAAAACAAGGTACACTACTGTCAGGAATGCTACTGTCGGGTAAACCCAGGTACACTACTGTCAGGTAAGCTACTGTCGGGTAAACACAGGTAAACTAATGTCAGGTAAACACAGGTATGCTACTGTCAGGTAAAAAAAGGTACACTACTGTCAGGTATTTTACTGTCTGCTAAACACAGGTACACTACTGTCAGGTATGCTACTGTCCGGTAAACACAGGTACACTACTGTCAGGTATGCTACTGTCTGGTAAACACAGGTACACTACTGTCAGGTATGTTACTGTCAGGTAAACACAGGTATGCTACTGTCAGGTAAACACAGGTACACTACTGTCTGGTAAACACTGGTATGCTACTGTCAGGTAAACACAGGTACACTACTGTCTGGTAAACACAGGTACACTATTGTCAGGTTAACACAGGTATACTACTGTCTGGTAAACACAGGTACACTACTGTCAGGTAAACATAGGTACGCTACTGTCAGGTAAACACAGGTACGCTACTGTCTGGTATACACAGGTACACTACTTCCAGGTAAACATAGGTACACTACTTTCATGTACGCTAATGTCTGGTATACACAGGTACGCTTACGTCAGGCAAACACTGGTACACTAATGTTAGGTAAATCACAGGTATGCTAACATCAGGTATACTTGAGCTCAATAATCTCAGATAAACTCAGTTATGCTAATGTCAGGTAGAAGCAAGTATGCTAATTTCAGGGAAACGCAGATACATGTACCTGACATCATGTAAGCTCTTGTTTCCAAACTTGCACTGTCAGCTTTAAAATAGCCTCAAGTACATTTGATACCAGACAGAATAACCCTCATCAACTTTTAATTCTGTTTAATTTGTGTCCAACATTTGGATCTTGTTATCATGAAGAAAGTATTCAATATTTTACAAATAAATACTATCATGGTTTATAGGTGCGTCTACTTAAGGAGGGCAAGGAGTTGAATCCAGAATTGCTGAAGAAACTGGAACCTAAAGAGAAGCCAAAATCTGTACCTAACTCTCCGACACCTGCAGACGGGGGTAAAGCAGAGGATGGTGACGTTAAAACGCTAACAGAGAAGGTTAGTAGGAGAGTTAGTTTAAATAGTGTCTTTGCCTCAATCAGGAGCTTGTAGACAATTCATTACTATCACATAGTATTCTGTACATGTCAGGCCTTCAGTATAGATGGCCTAAAGTAAATATATTTTAATCAAGGGGAGATAACTTAATTATTTCATCCTTTAAAGGTTAAGTCTGATAATAAAAGAGTACCTCAAAGGAGTAAGTATTTCAGATTTCCAAGGTCAAGGTTTAGGTCATTATTGCTAAGTAACAGATTTTTTTTACTAGTTCAGTGACAATGTTAAAATAAAATCATTTGTTTACCATTTTGAATGAGATGAGATTTTTTGAAACCGAACGTCAAGTTAAAGAATACTATCGGTCCAAATTTTTTAAAAAAAGCAACACAAGAATTTGCAAAGGAGCTTTGCATTCATGTCTTATAGATATTTGTATTTCATTGACAAATTTTTCTTCTCAAAAATGCTGAGGTAGCGCTATCTCTGTAAAAAAATCTTACCATACCTAAGGACTTAAAAATAAATTATTTCTATACACAATCAGGTTTCTCAATTAAATTTTATGGGTATTCCCCCCTGAACAAATCAAGAGTCCGGGGGTGAACTATCCTGGATTTTGTTGAATTTTATTTTTATCTTTCCTTCTCTCTTAATGGAATTCCCAAGTCTGATCAATTCTGTAAAAGTGAAAACTTTTGCATATTGATATTTTGGTATCGTTACCCTTTAAACATATCATGATGTGGAAATTTAAATCACAGATTGGTTCTAAAATCTGTATATTCTATTTATCCATAATGTTTATAATCTATAAATTTATACTCGTTCGTGGATATTTCCCACTCATCTTACTCAATGCAAAAGCAGAAGCATTTCCACCTGCAAAAATGTCCGCTTTTATAGAAACAGCCATGATGTGGTGTTCCTCATTTATCATCCCAGATTAACTGTTTACAACTAGAAAAATAAGATATGTCTGTCCTGGTACAACAGGTGAAGAGGCTTGAAGGTCTGCTGAATCGCTGTAAGGAAACCATCAAGGCCAATAAAGAAAAAGCAGTGCAACTGACAACGGAAAAGGAACATCTTCAAAAACAGATGGAAGAAAAGAACAGGGAGACAGACAAACTCAGGGTTTGTATAAAATAAAGGCTACGACAGTATATCATAATACAGTCGAACCTCTTAAAGGATCCCTGTCCAACAGCAGGCAAAATAGTAGAAACTGTATTTTTCTGTACTTACAGTAACCTCCCCTTAATTTGGTTTTAGATTAATTTGTACTGAAAAATACATACAATAGTAGGTATGGATTTTTTCTCAGAAATATTGAGTTATGCTGGTAAAAACAGTTTTGGCAATTGATTACAGGAACATTTATTGGAAAATGTCCAGATTAATTAATTTCTTGATAAATACTACATGATTTTGTTGATATTGTGCATCATTGAATATGTTTGTAAGCATATATACAAAAATGCAATCTGATATTAGATGACAAAAATTATATATATATATATATATAGTATAGGACCTTCATAAATTATTATCAAAGAATTTCTGTCCTTTAACCCTTTCACCACTGTAGACCATAATGGAGTCATCCAGATCAATGCATGGTAGAGTCTACTAAAGTTACATAGGGGTGAAAGGGTTTAATGAATTTAAACAGATTTAATGACCAGAAATTACTGAATATGTTAGATGACACAACTCTTTCTTGGATCAATATTTACTTTGTGACGTCACTTGAATTGTAACATCACAATGGTCTCTCCGTAACACAGTAATTTTTCTCCTGACAATTTTCAAATGTCCTGTCTTGTTTAATAATAAAAAAAACTTAAGTGACTAATGAAATATGAGATTTTCGGTAAATATGGACCTGGAAATGTTATGTTGACCAAGACAAAGTATTCTGTTGACAAAACCATTCATTGACCTTAAGAAAAGGCCATAATTGTAAACATACAATTGAAAAATTACAGATGTCTGCCAATCCTGAGGCTATTGCCAAACTGCAGAACCAAATGAAGGAGGCACGGAAAGTGATAGAACAGTTGGAGACTGACCGAGAGCTCGCCATCGCAGAGGTCAAGAAACAGGTCCACGAGGAGCTGGAGCTGAAGGATCAAGAGTTGTCGGACATACGCAGCCAGTGTCAAGTCCTACAGGTGGACAACAAGGCTCTTGGGGAAAAGACAGAGAAACTGGAGAAACAAGGTGATTAATACTGCAAACACTGTATTAGGGATTGAAATCAATTGTTTTTCCATTTGTTGTGTTATTATTATTTTTAATTGGAATTGAAATAGGAAAAAGAGATAAATTTGGTTCCTGGTTTTGTATCTGCCAGTCTCTTATCGTTTTTATTTGATATTTTTCTTCTGATGTTTACATACAGGCATGTATGTATAAAGTTATGGAATTATATCACATAGTTTCGACAAAACATAGATACACAAATGACAAAAGAACACAACTTAGTACTATTGCATGCCTCGTCCTGGCCTCAAACTCAAAACCACCTATCCAAGAAATACTTGTGATTGCGACCATTTTGCTACATTGGCCTCCTTGACAAAAGAGCTTTGATGTTGGGATGGTCAACAGCTTGGTACCCTCTACATGATCAAGGATTATTGTAAGATATTAGTACCTGGATCACAATGTATAGTTGTATACACAATACACGATCTATGACAGGTAGTTCATATACATTGAGGTTGTATTACATTTTTATATATGAAAGGTTGTGTTTATTAATGTAATACTTAACATTGAAACACAACTTAATTATTAAGAAAGACAATTTATGACTTATACCCTTTCGGAGCATTGTGCTCATGATCACAATCTCTGACACCAAAACACCAAGTCGAGAAACACAAGAAACTAGGTATGACCATTTTACCATCTCGGCTTCCTAAAGCAAGAGGTTATTTATGAGAGATACCTTGTATGATGTGAGGTAATATGCATCTTTACATAGAAATGTTATATTACAAACATCTACACAATTGTTTTAAGTTCTGTCTTGTTTTCAGTGCACGACAATCTGGAAAAATCAAGGGAGATAATTCGAAAGTTGAAAGAGGAGAAGAGAAAGGTCTCGGTGGAGATGGAGGAGAGAGTACAACAGACAGAGAAGGCTGTGGAGGACGAGAAAGAGAATCTCATACATGAGCTGTCGCGGGCCAAATCTGCAGCAGTCACTTGTCTTCAGGTACTGAGCTGTTTTCATGGTTCAGCTACAGATCAACTGATACTTTCCGAAAGTAAATCTGAACATTTCTGCAGAATTGCTGCAGGTTTATCTAGATTGTCTTACTTCCCTTGGGGAAAAAATTGTACATATTTTCCAGGTCTCCTGACCTATTCTGCTATCTTTCTTCCGACTCCAAAGTTTTTGAGTCATTTTAAAACAGGTAACAGACAAAAAATGACCGATGTACCATATTTTAGAAGAGTGGGGGTTTATGTATAGCATTTTCTATTTGAAGATAAAAAGTTTTTGTATGTGACTGGAGAAAAAATAGCAGATTTTTAACTGATTTTTCAATGAAAATGTTTTATGTCTATAGTACGGGATCTGGCAGATTTTTGACTTGTTCTAAATGAGAATGTTTTGTGTCTGTACATGTCTCGAGGAGACAGCAGATTTTTGACTGATTTCTCAATGAAATTATTTTGTGTCTGCCCTAGGAGGCAGAGCAAAATTTTAGCTGATTCCGAAACGAGAATGATTTGTGTCCTATGAAACCCAGAAGATTTTCAACTGATTCCTCAATTAAATTATTTTATGATTTTAGGAAGAGACCGAGAAGAAAGTATCCGCCTCCGTGGAGAGTGTAAGACAGGAGAGAGATGACTACTGGCATAAACAGATGGAGGAACAGACCCGCCTTCACCAGGAAATCCTCACTGCTAAGGTAAAGTCCACAGAAGGAGCTTTTATTTTGTCTAGGGGCCAATTTGTACCAAGTTTCAAACCTGTTCCCAAATTCTCTTCAAAATTTTCAAATAAAGAAAAAAAAAAAAAATTCAAATAATTTTTAAGAAAGGTACTGTATACTGGGAAACTTTTCGCCCGGCGAAACTTTCACCCTTCGCACATGAAATCAATATTAGTGCAGTTTTAATTTTGCCCTTCACATTTAATAACTATTTATATTATGTGGTTTACTTATATTCGTTGTATTTATAAATTCCCCTTCATTACGGTGGGCGATAAAGGTGAAAGTTTAACTGTGTCAAAAATTTCCGAGTATACCATATTAGCATAACAGCTATCATTTGACTGGTAGCACAGAGGATCTGTTAAAGATAATAGTCAAACAGTAAAAGAAATTAAAATTTGTGGATTCAATCTTGAATTGAGGGTAATGGCAACAACTGGTTCACCCACTGCCAGTCCGCATGGTATTTCAGTGATATAGTACTATAAAGTCGGCATCAGATCCGCACTATCACAAGGAAGCAAGTACACCAACATACCCTGTCTCCAGCACACATGCACACATGCACGCTTTCACAACACACATTGAAGCACGTCCTTAAATGACCTTAGCTGTTAATAGGACGTTAAACAAAATCAAGCCACACCGTCTTGATATTGTTCTTAAAAGTACATGTTAATAATGGGGTTGGAAGGGGGACCTTGTATCTGTTGATTTTACCTTGAAGTTTTGTATGGAATGAAAGTTCAAATTAAATGACCCTGACCTTATGTTGACCTTATCACAGGTACAGGAGAAGGACCATGAGCTAAGCCAGTTACAGGAGCAGATCCATCGCCGTCTGTTTGAGAAGGAGGAAGAGATGAAACTTAGCAACGAGGAGAAAGACCTACAAAAAATGGCTGCTCTCTCCCAACAGGGTGGCATCAAGGAGCAACTACAGGCTGAGGTCAAACAGTTGAAACAGGTAAAAATCTGTTAAGAACAACAACTCTTTACAATAGTCTGGATTTACCAAAGTTCAGAGAACCTAAGTAATGGAATTACCGGAATTTCTTGGGATTTCAATTACAGGATTAAAGTCTTATAACTGTTAATAGTTCTGTACTATTGGAATAATTCAATCATGAAGCATTATGACTGGAATTTCCAAAATTTGAAGTCTTAAAACTGGAATTACAAAATTTAAGTTGGAGTTAAGGAGTGGAATTATATAGAATTTGAAAGTATTACAACATGAATAATGGAATTCAGAAGTCTCAAGACTGGAATTATAAGATTCTTAAGTGAGGACACGAATTACAGAACTTGTTAGTCTACTACTGGAGTAGTACTAGAATTATTGAAATTTTAAGTCTGGAATGACAGAATTTATAGTCTTAGTAAGGGATATACTTAATTCTGAAGCCTCAGTTCTGGAATTACAGGAAGTGGAATTTTACAATTTACTAGAGTTTTATATTTCTTAATGTTCTTTCTGGATTGAAATTATCAGTATTAACAAAATAAAAAGGCGAGCTATGTAAATCGAGAGTGATTGGTTTGGATTTTAGAATTTGAGTTATGAAATATGTTATCATCTGTGATAGAATTTTAAAAAAAACACTGTTTTTACATCTGATTGTAATGATTAGTTTCAAATTGACAGAGGTAATTAATATATTTTAGTAAATGTACTTTCAATCAATTTTAGAACATCTCTGAGAAGGAGGAAACTTTCACCAAACTGGCTGCAGACCTGAATCAGCAGCGTGAAGCATTGGAAAAGCAACTGACAATAGTACATCAGACATTCCAGGCAGAAATAGAAGCTTTAAAGACACAACATTCCGAAACACTATCGACCACAGAAGCTGCACACCAAACACAGTTGATGGAAAAGGTCCAGGCTTTAACTGAGCAACACTCTTCCGCATTGGAGGAAAACTCAAGGCTGCACGAAGACTCGCTTCAAGGTTCTGCAAAAGAGATTGAAGCGTACTACAAAAACCAGGTCAAAACTACGAAAGAAAACCTAGAGCAGCTGTTACAAGAACGGAACCAGCAAGCGGAAAAGTTGGCAGAAAATATGCAACAGCTGAAAAGTGAAGTGGCAGCTAAAGAGGATGGGATCAAGACTTTGAAGGAAGAATTTGAATGTAACAAAACAGATCTTGAAAGGAGGCTGCAGCAAGAAGCAGAGGTTTCCAATAAACTTCGCAAAAATCTCGAAAATCTTAAAGCACAATGTCAGAAAAGCAAGACAGATATGGAAAATGAGTCGGCCTATTTTAAAGAGGAGCTTAAAGAGTCCCAAGCAAATCTCGAAAAAGCAGAGAAAACGAACAAGGAATTGTTTAGTCAAGTACAACAGCTGCGAGCTGAGAAAGACAAAATTGAAGCCGAATGGAAAGAGAAATATGACTTGACTCTTCAAGAACATAATAATACTATGTCTGCCATTTTGGAATCGTCGGACGAAAGCTTGAAACATATCACAAATCAGTTGAACGAAAAAGAGAAAGAGCTTCAGCTACTTCAAGCACAGCTGGTTGAAGCCCAGAAGAACGCAGAGCACTGGCATCAAGTGGCAGAGGACGAAAGCCAAATCTTGAAGGAGTGTGACGACAAATACCTGCGAGTAAAGGCGGAGAACCAACAGCTCGAGGACAAGATCAGAACCTTCGAAAGTTCGTTGAGTGAGTCATCGAAAACCAACGAGGAATTAAACACAAAAGTCAAAGAGACACAAGAGCTGTTTAATACAAGTCAGCAGCAGATCATAGAAGAGAAAATGTCAATAGAAGAGAAGGTTTTGAAATTACAGGAAGATTTGGATAAGAGGGAAACGATGGTGAAAGAAAAGGATGAGCTTTTGGCTGTTCGGGAAGAGGAACTGACGGCTACAAAAGTCATAGTGCAGGAGACGTCTAGTAGTTCTTTGTCTTTAGAAAGCAGGGTAGCAGAATTAGAAGCCATCGTTAAATCAAAGGAAGAGATGTTTGAAGAGAAGGAAACAGAAATGAAGAGCGTTAAGGATAAATTCAATCAGTTGAGGGTGGAAGCTAAAGGACGAATAAAAGAGCTGAAGGATAATCTGGACGAGACGACACAAAAGCATCTTGAGGAGGTGGAGGAAAAACAAAACGAAGTGAAAAGAAAATTTGAAGAGGAAAAAAATGAATTGACAAACCAGCACAGTATTCGTGTCAAAGAGTTGGAGGAAAAGATTGAAAAGGAAAGGTCAAATATGAAATCGCTGGAAGAGAGTTTCAAGGTGAAATTTGAGGAGAAACAAACAAAAATGAAGGAGGCGATGAAGAAAATGAAGAAGATGTTTGAGGAAAAGTTAGCGACAAAAGAATCAGAGTTTCAAAGTACTTTATCGGACTTGACTACACAGAAAGAGCTGGGAATGGATGATGTTATGAAGAGTATGGAAAGCACAAAAGCTCAACAGATTCTGGAGATTGAAGACCGACACAAAACAGAAATTCAAACCTTGAACGAAGAATGGCATCAGAAAGTGAATACCGAGCAAGAAATCTTTGATCAGAAAGTGAAGGAATTGACACAGAATCATGATGATACTGTGAATTCATTGAAAACATCTCATTCAAGTGAACTTGAGGAAATGAATCGGAAACACAGGACTGAAATGACTGATTATGAACAGCAAGTAGAGAAATTAAGAGCAGAACTTGAAAGAGTGAAAGTGGAAGGTGAAAATTCCTTGAAAGAACTTATACAACAAAAAGAAGAAGAAATGAAAACCGTTCTGGAAAATCATGAAAAGACTTTAGAATCTCTAAAACAGGAGAGTTCTGATTCTGGTGCTAAGCAACAAGAGCTTTCAGACCAGGTAAAGACATTGGTCACTGAGAGAGACAATTTAGGAGTGTCTTTACAAAAGAAAGAAAATGAGTTGAGGGAGCTTAAGGAGGAACAAGAGAAGACATTGGAATCTGTAAGACAGGAGAGTTCCGATTCTGGTTCTAGACTTCAAGAGCTTTCTAATAAACTTGCTGCTATGGAGTCTGAAAAAGAAAATTTGAGCCAAAGATTAAAAGATCAGGAACAGCAATGTGTAGAAAAAGTCACTCTCTTAGGTGAGACTGAGACACGAGGCAAGGAACGTGAAATGTCCCTGGAAAGAAATATCCAGGAACTCAACCAAAAGCTGGTCCTAGTGTCGGAGAAACATGAACAGGAAAGCCAGGAAAAGGAAAATGTGTTGACACAATCAGCCGAACGATTAACACAGCTAGAAACGGCTAACAAATCCATGGAAGAAATGCTGAGAGAACTTAGTGAGAGTTCCCAAAGCAAAGATGACAAAATTCAATTGCTCACTGATGAAGCCGATAAAACGGTGCAAGAAATGAAGGCTGCAAATGAAAAACAGTCTGAGGAATTTAATAAAATGTTGACAGAGTTAAGACAACAGGTTGAAGATAGTAGTTCCAGTCTAGCAGAAAGGGAAGCCAAATTTGAAGAAATGTCAAAACAAGTTCAGAGTGATCACGAGTGTAGAATGGAAGAGATGAAGACAGAATACGAGAAAAAATTGTCAGACATGATGATAAACGACGAGGAACTCCAGGCCAAATTGACGCAGTTACGTAACAAAGTGACAGAAACCGAGGAGAAGCTACACGAATGTATCCAGAATTATGAAAATCAGATTGAAAAGTTGAAAATAAAACTGGATTCCCAAGAAACAGTTTTTGGCAAAGAGAGAGAGATGTTGAAACAGCAACTTCTGGATGCTGAAAGTCAAGCAAAGATGACCACCGATGGCCTGCAGACGTCACTTCAAACCAAGGTTCGGGAGGCAGAGGACAAGAATATTGAACAAAACAAACATTTTGAGGAGGAGAAAGAGAAAATGGTCGAGACTTGGAAAACAAAGTTCCAAGAGTTGAAAAACACATACAAGTCGAAACTGAAAGAGTTTAAAACAAAGAACGAGGAAAACATGGCATCACTTACAGAGAAATCTAGGAATGAGTGCGAGGAATTACAAACAGCTTTGAAAGTTGCGGCGGAAAAACACCAATCAGAAGTAGCAGCAAAAGATGACATATCGTCAGAGCTTGTTCTGGCCAATACGAAGCTGCTCCAACTACAAGAATCATCCGGAGCCAATAGGACTGCTATAATTGATCTGGAAAAAGAAATTGGAGAGAAAAATGAACTGTTATCTAAATTCAAATCTGAACTAACACAGCTGCAAGGAAATCTCTCTGCGAAGGAAGAGCAGTGTGTTGCCATGGAAACCAAACTCGGCCATTTGGAAAAGGAATTTACCTCCAAGGTACAAGAATGTGAGAAAACAATATCTGTTGCGCAACAAGAAAAAATGGATTGTGAAACAAAGGTTTGTGATTTAGAAAAAGATAATTCCCAGTTGAAAGAACGTTTGTCCACGTCTGAGGAAAGATGTGCTAGTACTCAAAGAGATTTTGAAAATTTACAGAAAAGTTTGACAGATGTGAGTGGTGCTTCGCATGGGCTGGAGGAAAGGGTCACAGCACTGCAAAAGGAGAAGGAAGAAATGAGGGAAAAGCATGAACGTGAGAAATTTGAAATCGTACAAAAACAAGCAGACATTGAAGCCAAGAGCGTTGAGCTCCAAAAAAGTTTCCACGATCAAGTGACTGAACTCAATGCACAGTATGAGTCGGACAATATGAAATTGGCTGAGGAGTGTGAAATAGTAAAACGCGAAAAGGAAATATTAACACAAGAACTTGAACAAGAGAAAACAGACAGAACAAAATTAGTGGAAGATTTGGAGGGAGAAAAAAGTCATCACCAGAAATTGTCCGAGGATTTGGAAACTGAGAAAACAGCAAAGGGGACACTTTTGGAAGACTTTGAACGAGAGAGACTAGAAATGAAAAACCATATAGACAAAACTGTGACAGAATTAAAGGAGCAAACTAGCAAACAAATTGATGAATTGACCAAAAGTCTTGAAGCAGAGAATGCCAGTAAAGTGGCAGAGTATAAGAAGAAAGCGGAGGCATACATATCACAGATTAAACGTCAACTTCAGGAGGAGCGTGATAAGTTAGCGAAGGAAAAGGAAGGCACGGTCGGGGAATTGGACCAGAAATTATCCGAGTGTAGTGAGAAACTAACTGTGGCAGAGTCGAAATGTTTCGATCTGCAGCAGGCGTTGGACACTGAAAAAGCCGAAAAAGAAAGTGTTGTGTCACAATTACAAAAGGAAAAACAGCAGCTAGAGACAATGTATGAACAGGAAAAATCATCACGTGAATCGCTGGTTCATGAACAGTTACAGATGAGTGAATCTAGTCAATCCACAGAACAGATGTTACAAGAAAATGTGAACCGGTTAGAACAAGATTGTGAAAATTTGACAACGCGTGTGAAAAAACTGGAGGACGAGAATAGGACAGTTACAGAAAGTAGCGATTCCGAGATAAAGAAATTAAAAAACTCTAGCAAGAAAGTCGAGAAAGAATTCCACAGTTTTAAAATTGAAACAGAAGAAGAGTTAGATCAATTAAAAACTGAACATGCATTTGAATTGGAAAAGATGAAACAGCACTATGGAGAGTTGATTCAGGATAAGGAAAACGAACACGGGTCCAAAATCAAACAGTTGGTGAAAGAGTTTGATAAGAAATTGGGAGCAAAGGATCGCGAGTTTGAAAACACATTCACCGAAGCTGTTGGTAAGATCTTGATTTTTGCTGTGTAAAATGTATACATGTTTCTGATGACATTCCGGTAGATAGGTAATTTATAAAGGAGCGCAAGTATACATAGTAATAAAGGAAGGTCTGGGCGGGGAAGTGGTACGATAGCTTTATAGGTTGGTCTGGTTCAGAAGTACATGTACAGTAAAACTTTGTTACAATGCCACAATTTTTCCACAGATATTTTGGCATTATAAAAGAGTTTGGCAAAAGATTGGGAAATGTACATGTATAAAGGAACTATTAAGAAAACAAGAAAAAGGACATTGAAATATGTTGGCGGTTTATATACTAGGTGGCAAATGAAACGACATTATATCAAGGTTTCACAGTATACTGTGATATTATTTATAGATAGACAGGTATATATATGTAGTTGTCTAATGTGGCTTAAGATTTGCTGCTTAAAGACTAAAACTGATCTGCCAGAATATAGATACTGTGAAAGCCCGACTGGGAAGTCATATTATACTTAGTATAAAATACGTGGGAAGAGTTTTTATGAGATTTTTAATTTCTAGGTTATCTGACCTAAAGGGTCCGGATGACCTATAGTCATCGTGCTTTGTCCGTCGTCGTCGTCCGCTGTGCGCCCTGCGCCGTCCGTAAACTTTCAACATTTTAAACTTCTTCTCAAGTTCCATCAGTGGGATTGAGCTGAAACTTGCCTGAAATGATCCTGAGATGTTCCTGACCAAGTGTTGTTATTTTTTCGGATCAGTCCAAAATCCAAAATGGCCGCCAAAGCCGCCATCACAAAAAAACACATTTTAAACTTCTTCTCCAGTTCCACTGGTGCCATTCAGCTAGAAATTGGTGGGAATGTTAAGGAAAGGAAGCCGACAAAGTGTTGTTATTTTTCAGCCCCGTCAAAAATTCATCATGGCAGCCATGGTGGCCATTTTGTAACATGATTGCTTAATCATGGTTTTCCTAAACAACAGCTATTTTAAACTTCTTCTTATGTGCCACCTAGGCCTGTGGGATTGAGCTGAAACTTGCATGAAATGATCCTGAGATGGTCCTGACCAAGTGTTGTTATTTTTCAGGTCGGTCAAAAATCCAAGATGGCCGCAATGGCTGCCATCTTAAAAAACACATTTTAAACTTCTTCTCCAGTTCCACTGGTGGGATTGAGAATATTTCATTGAAAGTTGAAATGTTACCATTCTCTCTGCTCAGTCTTTGTTAAGTCAGATGACCGTTTAGGCCCACAGGCCTCTTGTTTTCATTAAATCTTTTGGTCATGTACAATATATTGATGTACATACTACCATCACTGTACCCAAAATGGAATGCTTTTCGGGTGATGCTATGAAATTTGATATAATTTTCAGAAGTCTATTTTTTCAAAACTAATTCCAGTTTGGAGAAGAAATTTAACCAGAACCTTATCTGACTAATATTTAAACGATGCATATTTTTCTGCTGATATCGATTATTCATCCCCCAATATTAGTCAAAATACAAAGGTGTCTCTTTCAGGGTACAAATTCACCTTTTCAAGAGCCTATGTGACCCTGCAAGTATTTCGCATTCTATTTGTAAAACCATGTCCCAGAATCAGAAAAGAAAAGAGGAGGGTATCTTTTTATGAAAAATAAACAATTGTTTTGGAATTGATGCATACTATATATGGTATAAATACATTCATATATATCAAGATAGAGAAAAAAAGGTCCCATTTTGGTACAGTGACATCGCATTGCCTTTCCTGGGATCCTGAGAGAACTGTGTTAATTTAGTGCTTCAAGGAGTACATACTCGAAAGTACTTGAGCCACCAAGTTGTCAATAACTTTATGTAACAGAATTTCACAAGTCGATTCTCACTTTACTGCTCTTGATGAATTATCAAAGGAAAACATGAAGTATTGCGATTAATTTTGCATTTGAAAGGAAATCTGTGATACAAACTAGCACATATTCAATCAACATCTACAAAGATCATATAGGTGTCAACCTCTGAAACCTCCAATGAAGGAGATCTCCCTCATTCCACATTTCCAAAGAGGATGAAAGTGTGTGAAACGCGATTGAAACTGCTTTGTTCAATAATCTTTTCCTATTTAAGTATCAAAATAACTCCAAAAAGCATTCATTTGATTCAGACACACCTTTTATGATCATTACACACACCCTGCAGTTACTAGAAGATCATTTGACCACAGGATGTAGATTTTGAGTTTGTGTGAGTTTAGACTTGATTGAGGTAGTTTTGAAGGAGATAGGTTGGTCAAAAGGAGGGAGTCTCCCTCCTAATGAGGGAGGATTGACAGCGATTTGCAATCAAAATTGTGTTTGGTTGCAGAAGTTTCAGTAGTTTTGAATACAGAAAAATTAATATTCTAATTAATATAATCAAAATTTTGACTGTCAGAATTCATGGAACGCTAAATAAAATGGAAAGCATAGTAAAATTAGACATGGCTTGTGAAATTGTGTTTTCAAATATTCTTTGAGTTAAAACACCTAAAATGCCACTGGAATAGACCATGAAATTAAATTTGTTGCTATAAAATGTATAGAGAAGAGTAACAGAGGAGAGAGCCGACTGATGTTCGAGCACAAACAGGCCATGGAGGAACTGCACCATGAACTCCACGAGAAGGACGATTCCATGGAAGAGATGAGAAATCAGCTGCTGGAGCAGATGAAGGTCAGCATCTTCTCTCCGTAATCGGAGCATATGTTATTATGCATGTCCGTTCTGCTGTCATCACTCTAGTGACATCATTAATATTTATAATAGATTTTGAGTTAATGTTTCAGTGTTCCAAGGTCACCATTACTATGTATAGAAATTTATCAACTAATGTTCATGTCTTGCAGATATTTTCTAGTGCAAGTACTTTTTGGGTTCCTTCCCGTCCAGGTATCACACTTGCAGACTTTATAAAAAAAATCCATTCCCTAAATCTTAAGATATTTCCTGAACTCCAGTAATGTTTTTAACATAAGGCAGGTCCATAGTTTTTAAAATTTAGCACCAATGTGCAAGAAGTTGTGCATGTTTGATAAATTGAAGAACGATATGGTAGTCTGAAAATATTGTGCTTCAATTTAAAGAAGTATCCACAACATTTATCAATATTTTTCATGAAAATAGGGTTTGCATGTTATATTATTTTCATAACCAAATTGTGTATTAAGTCATGTGATCTTTAGTCACTGTATTCTATAATGCTATTTGACTTTGGCATTGTAGCAATCTGAAGAAGAATCAAATGCAAGAATCAAGGAAATGGAACAAAAACTGTCAGAAGAAAACCAGAAATATCAATTCGAGATTACAGATTTAAAGCAGAAACATGAAGTTAGCATTATGGAGCTCCAAGAAAAGATGAAACAGACTCACGAGAAATCCTTGGAGGTCAAAGAGGTCTTCCACAAAGAAGATGTACAGTCGCTTACACAGGAGTGGAACAAGGAGAGAAAGGTTGGCATTGTCACTACTCACAGATTACAGGTTGTGAAATGTTCATTGGAATTCTGTTACTTACAGATTACAGGTTGTGAAATGTTCATTGAAATTCTGTTACTCACAGATTACAGGCTGTGAAATGTACATAGAAATTCTGTTACTCACAGATTACAGGTCATGAAATGTACATAGAAATTGTGTTACTCACAGATAACAGGTTGTGAAATGTTCATTGAAATTCTGTTACTCACAGATTACAGGTCATGAAATGTACATAGAAATTGTGTTACTCACAGATAACAGGTTGTGAAATGTTCATTGAAATTCTGTTACTCACAGATTACAGGTCGTGAAATGTTCATTGAAATTCTTTTACCCACAGATTACAGGTCGTGAAATGTTCATTGGAATTATATTACTCACAGATTACAGGTTGTGAAATGTACATAGAAATTCTCTTACTATTTTTATTTTTATATTTTATTATTTTTCAGGGTTAAATATCTTTTAAGCGATAATTTACTAAAGTCTTATTTTTTGTATAGGAAATTTGAAAAATTCTAACATCCATACCTGTATTTTGTTAATATATATTGAAAATTTCACTTGCTCTGAAGTAAAATTTACTGTTCGGTGGAATTGTACACTCCTCTATATCAAGTATAATAGAGTTGCCTTGTATGTAATGAACCCCTACACTTTTTTCTTAAGTTTTAAACCCGTACATTCTCCACCCATTCCTTGTGCTGTCGGCAATGCTATTGTTTTTCACTGCTGTTTAGCACTTCCCGTTTTTGTTTGTCCCTCAATGTTTTGTCAAATTTAAAGTTGATGGAAGTGTTGTTGAACAAAAAGGAATATATCGCTATTGGAAAATGGAATGAAATCTGATCAAGAACATTAATTAACATGCATAAAACATATAACCATAGTTAATATGGATCACTTAATGACTTTTCTAATGCAAATGCTTCAATTTACCGATGTAACTAACTAGAAATAATAAATGCATAGCATCAAAATGAGAGATGAATACCTCGACAAGGGAAATAACTCCAAGATTTTCCTCAATAAAATTAAAGACAGAAAACTCCAGAGTCAAAAAATTTGATGATCTCTAAAGTGGAACTCTTCAGGATTATAACTGGTACACTTGATACCCTTTAAGTCAAAGGAAATTTGGGCTATACAAATATCAAGTGTTTGTAATTATAGGGTTTGCTGTCATAGTACGCTTCCATCAACTTATTACCATCGTGACAAATTGATTTTCCACATTTGATTCACTGATTTTGTTATATATGAATATGATTTCAATATTATTTTATTATGAAATGTCATCATCATCGTTTTGTAGTCCGGAAGCTTACAGCTAGCAGGTGATCCAAGTGTCATAGAGCCTGAGGTACACATTGTTATTTTGTTTTGAGTTTGTTTTTGTCATTGAAAGTCTGACCTGGTCATCTCAAACTCATGCCATACGTTTATTCCATTGCTGGTACTCCATATTTCTGTTTTCAAACCTAAATTTTTTTTTTAAAAAAATAGGCTATAGAATTTGCAAAAGATTTTTAAATTTCTTGATATGATAAAAATATTAAAAAGTCATCTGACATCTTCATTAGTGATAATTTTGTTTCAAAATTAAATATGTGCGGTACAAAAAAAACGAGACTACCGGTATTAATTCTTGCAAATCGTGTAGAAAAGTATTTACCTCATTCTGGCTTTAATTTCATTAAAATTGAATTATTTTTGAGATGGTAGGGTTGTCTTAGAGAGCGATGTACGGCTGGCTGTACATGTATTTAAAAATTTATTTTTTGTCTGTTCACTTGACAACATGTACATGTGTATGATGTCTGTGTTACTGCTTTTCAAATTTATGAATTATTAACACAATTGAAATGCTTGATCATGGTAATATTACTACATTGCAATTTTCTTAATTTTGTGTCAGTTGTCAGAAAAAAATGCGTTATTAAAGGGATTTTGACAACAATAACAGTTACACAAAAAATGTTAAGGTTTTGAAGCATAACTTATCCATCAAATCAGATTGTGTTCACATTCTTTTGGTGGGTGCAGTCTAGTAACTGCTTTTTTAGTACATCTGTGTATCTGTTTGTGTGTTTTTATGTCTTTTCATTGTAAAGCATGTGTAGGAGTGAAAAAAGGGATGAAGGAGGAGGAATGGTAATTTATTGTTTATTAACTCCTTCACCCCTGAAGACACATTTGAACGCTTACAATTCAATGGTTGGAATAGTTCATTATGAAATTTCAGGGGTGAATGAGTTAAGATAAATATGGTATCTGTTAAACCAGGCTGTTGAGATTCATGTATATGTCCTGTGATCTAGAGAATGACCTTTAACTTGTGTTTGACCTCTGTCCAGGAGCTGTTGCATCACAACCAACTGGCCATTAGTGCCTTACAAAGTGGCGGCACCAGCGGTCATCTCCTCCAGAAACAGGTCATCGATTTGACCAATCACATCCGAGAACTAAAGGAGAGGCACAGGTAAAACATGGCCGACTTGGTGAACGACCATTCCTTAACTGGTTTTACAGATTATCACGTTGACACACAAACATATTCTCTGCATGGAACAACAAGTCCAAACATTTGACACTTGTTCCATAGTTCACATGCTGGAGTTGAAGACTATCAGCAGGGTTTTACATCCCATTTTGACTTTGAGAGTCCTCCAGACCCCCTTGGAGTGACAATTGGAGGTCCTACGTCATAACTATTTGGGGTCCTCATAAATGATATTTTTCATTGCTTAGGTAATATACATCATTTAAAATTTGGAGACTGGAATTTTGAAGTTGTCATTTCAGGGTTCATGAGAACACAGGTGTTCAGATTTTAGAGGTGCTGTAATGAAAAATGGGTTTATTTGAAGCAGGATTCAGCTTGATGTAAAACCCTGTTTTAGTTAACCTACTCGTCACTTTAATTTGCATTCCGTCTGTCTGTAGATAGAAACTTGTCCAGACAACTCCTTTTCATCTGCTTTGCTGATTTCAACAAAACTTCATACTCATGATCAGTGCATTATGTATGTGAAATCCCAGTAACTCGGTCAAATCTTAACAAATTAAAGGGACCAGTCGGTCTTGAAATTTTGCGACACATTTAATACGTACATTGTTTGTGTAGAAAGTGGCACTTTGATATGAAATCCCAATTATTTTCAATTTTCAGTCTACAGGTAAATTGAAATGTTTTCTTTACTAAATATTTATCAACAGACTCGAACTAGCTCAAGCTCAAGGCCAGCTGGAGCAGAACTCTCTACCCACAGCCTTACTGGACAGGCCACTCCCGACACAGCCAGCCCGCAAAAAGGTGACATTTGACCTCTCTGACCCCAATCTGGAGAGTGATATACAGGATCTGGAGCTCACCAACATGGACCTGCAGGTCAGTATCACAATATACCATTAATAAGACCATGCTCACATATAAGCCCACCCCACATTTTATAACTGACTTTAATTTTTGGCATACTATATCTATTACCAAATTTTAAAGGAGCAATCAGGATCACCTGTGTGTAACCTAACGTTCATCTTTATAGATTACGATTACGATATTTATATTTTCAAATAAAAAAATTAGTGGATAAAAATAAAAACTGAAGAGCTCATACAACCTTTGTTAATGCTTGGCCCTTAAAAAAGCCTTTTGGTTATATTGATGTGGTCATAATTCATGGGTCTTGTTAAATTTGTTTAATTTTGGTCAACATTGAGATATTTGTAAACAAAAACTGTCATTTTATTTACAAATCAACAACAACAACAATGACTCTTCAACAACAACATGATTTTGTTCACATCCTTGTCCAACACAACATTATCATGATTACAACTGAACAACACAACACACTCGATGTACACAACAACAATGACAACTACACTACACATGACAACTATAATCTAACACAACACATCTACGATGAACAACACAGGCTTACCTAGAACTGGGACAACAGGTCACGTCAAGCTTAACATTGGTAAGCTTTCGCATAAATTTCACCTCCTACGAGCCCCAGCTTCCTCCTGCCTACCTTATACACTACATCCTACTTGCCATCTCTCCCTATTAGGGAGGGAGACTCCTGATTTTGGACCCTAAAATTGAGCATTTGCAAGCATTTGCTAGATGAGTTTGCTCAATCATTCCTATTTTCTAAGATCTGATGATGTCATCTGAGAGAACAGCTCAAAAGATGCCATTTAACCCTTTCACCCCTAGGTAACTTTAGTAGACTCGACCATTCATTGATCTAGATGAGTCCATTATGGTCTACAGTGGTGAAAGGGTTAAAAGGTGTTATTTTCCCCTAGGGTGTACATACATACATTGCAATCTCCCCCATGGAAATTTGAAAAAGTTGGCAAGTATGCTACATGTTTTTGTCAAGAGACGCAATACGGTCTTTCGATTTGAAGAACGTGTCTATAAAGGTTAATAAAATCTATAACAGTCTAGCTGGTTGACCCTCTAACTGAGAAATTGGCAATTTCAGATATCTTATCACCTATTTTTCCTCAAAGGTGCACAGTAAAACCTTGTTATAATGCCGGGAAGATAGTGGCAGTATAACAAAAGTTTTCTGGGTTGCTTAATATATAGTTAAGGCAAATTACCACAATCATTGGTTTTGTACACACATCTTTTTCATTGACTGTATGAGATGAAACTCATGTCAGAAGGGAATCTGTTCTCTTCAGAAAAGAAATTGAAAAAGGAATTCTGATGAAAATCCCAATTAGAATCAGGCACATTCAACATTAATCTCTAGTGTTTTAATATAAGATCATACAAAAGCCAATAAGATCTTAGAAGAGCCGGGCCAACAAGAGTGATTGGTATAAGTTGTTGAAACTTGTTTCATAATTGTTGTTAACTCATTCACCCCTGAAGACACATTTGAACACTTCCAATTCAAAGGTTGGAATAGTTCATTACAAAATTTCAGGGTAGAATGAGTTAAACAAATAAAGTTTATATAATAAGATCATATAGAAACATTTATAACAGTTTAATAAGAGTTTTACCCTGTGAAGCTATATTCAAAGCATGCATAATAAACATATTAAAACAAAAAACAGGGAAACCCCCTACTCCGTGGAAAAGTAACACAGAAACTTACATGAAAATCACAATAAGAAGCAAGTACATTTAACATGAATCTCCAGTGTTTTACAACCAATTATAGATATCCTAATGAAATTGACACAGAATTTAACAATGTGAACCTAAATACATATAATTTTGCTATATAAAAAATGTATGTTAATATCACTGAGTTGAAATACCAAGGTGATACATGAAAACTAACAGTTTTTGTCTGGTTATATCAGGCCCAGGTTCAGCACCTAAGTGGAGAGATCAACCAGAGCAGAATGAGAGAACGTGGTCTACACCAAAAGGTAGAGTAAGAACGTTTGATTCATGATTGGTTGGAATGGTGTCATGTGATCACAATAAAAAATAAATATTGGCCGGCATTTCAAGAAAAGCTTATGAAAAAAGCTGTTTAACTGGGGCCGCTTTCGTTTATTGCGATCTAAACGGTTGGACCAGTTGGTCTAGAGCTATTGGTTTATGAAATAGGGTCGAACCTAGTAATCTGATGCTGCTTTCAGGCTAGCCTTGACAAAGCCTTTCGAGGCCTGCAGAAACGTTTGCAGGTTCGCCAGGATTTATATCCAAATGTTACATTCATAAAGAGACAAACCGATTGTTCTGCATTAACGAAAAAGGCCCTTGCCATGGGTGTTTCTAAAAACTTATCAACAAGCATTGCAAAGACCTTGATTTCAGTGTGTGATTTTCTTTGACTGCTGTTTATGAAGATACGTTACTTAATATAAGAAAACAATTTCATTGAAAACTGATATAGCCTTTTGATTTCAGTCAATAAGACCAGGCATCGACCACATCAATTTACAAAATACTATAATTGTATAATATCAGTATTAACAATGTCATCTACGATTTCAGATTAATACTCTGGAAAATAGACCAGCGCAGCTATCTCTTGACTCCCCACCTCTCAGTCCGGGTTATGCCACAGATGGCACCGCATACGGACCCCTTCTCAATGAACCGACACAAATAGAGGTACTGAAGTTTTTATGTGTCAACCTGTTATATAAGACCTGACATTAAAAACAAAAACAAAAAAACAGAAGAATGTATACAAACATGTTCCGGATTTAATATTCCAGTTCAGTCTTCAAAAAATCCCAGTAATGAGGGGTACTTTTACCACCAAAACAGATTTAAAGAACCATGAGTCTTATTATTAGTCTTTGTAACTGTCCATAAATATTACCAACAAAATCAAATTCAAAAACCTGATTGCCAGAATATTAATTTGCAATTAGTGTGGGCCCGCAGTAAAGCTGGCAATTTTAGCCAAACAATGTCCTGACACTTTTCACATAATTCATGCTGTCAGTGTGAGCAAAAGAAAGATGATAATATTTTATTTAACTTTTTGTTCTCTAGACCAGTGGACCTGTCACAAAAATATCTTGATGATGTTAAAAATAATTCAAATCATCAGCACCCCATCTTTAAGACATGCTCTGTTAAAACATTATTGCAGTAGAACGTTATTAGGTAAAAGTTCAGGTCGTGATATGCAAGTCACAATGATATGATGTTGATTGCTTAATTTTGCAGTACCTTCGGAATATCTTATTCCAGTACATGATGGGCAAGGAGACCAAGGTAAGTTTAATAGAAGCTGGTCACTATTACTCTATAGATGTATTATTTGCCTTGGATTTAATTTCATAATAGTCAGGGTCATCAAAGATTGGCGAGAAAAGAAATTGTATATCCAGCGAATGTTAAAATCGTGAATATATCTCAATGAAAGATATAAACGTAAACACACAAAGTTTTAATTTTTGTCGCAAGTCCCTGTGATGCAGGGTTTTGATATCTTGCAAAGCCCTGCGAGAAGAGTTTTAAATATCTTTGAGAAAATACCTGAACTTTTATTGAAGACAAATTTGCATTTAATCATGTGCTTAAATGGTAGCTAAAAAAAAATCTGGCTTTACTTAAAAAAATTGTGATATGACATGAATTTAATCCTGTATATACTTGCAATTTCTGTAGAATTTATGGAATAAAGAAAAAGCATCCGGGTCAACAAAAGTGATTAATATCGTTATAAAAACTTGTTTCATAATTGTTGTAAAGTAAATAAAGTTTAAATAAAGTATCATTTTGAAAATCAAATTTAAATAAAGTGTCATTTAGAAAGTCTTTGTTTCTATTAAATGTGTTTTTTTCTGTTGTTTTAATCACCAGACATTGGCTCGGGTCATTGGTACCATTGTCCAGTTCTCGGACGACCAGACACGGAAGATTATAGCCAAAGAAGACACGAGATCTGCTGTAAGTCAGTGATTGGTTCATTTGTTTGCTGATCGACCAATCACATTGAAGATTGCAAAGAATGTACAATAATGCTTTGTGTGTATAAAATTACTTATATCTTGTAGCTTATATTATCAATTACTAATACTTCTAAAAATTGCTTGTTTAATTAAATCATTTAGTATAATGTAAATTCTCAAAATATAAAATGTTGATTTGATGAAATTTTCCCCCTAGTTTAATCAGAAGAGGCATGTGACATTTCTTCTTTTTTGGATAAACAATACAAAAAGAAAAAAAGAAAAAAAGAAATAGGATAATTATTTACTGAATTGATGTTAAATTGGACATTTTATTTTTTCATTATCTAGTCCTGAGTAAGTAAATAATTTGCTGTGAATCCCTTACACAGATTAAGCACCAAACGAAAACTGTTAACCAGCTTATTACACAATGTATAAGGATTTAAAAAATTACTAATTGTACTGCACTGTATATAAAAAATTTAAAGTATCTGTTAAAGATGTCACTTTCTGTATTATATATCGCACTGCTGGCACATATAGACAACACCCGTACAATGTCTGCCTTTCAAACACTGAGCTCCCTAAGTAAGTCATATAAAAGCTTAATTCAAAATCCTTTGCATACCTAAAGCTTTGTAGAGAATTCTTTAAGATTTTGGGTTGTGTAAGGTATTTTGTGTTCTGACAGTTTTTCATAATATACTTTATATAACCGAATATCCTGAATTTCTTTGAATATCCATGTAAGGTTGAGGTCTCTTCCAAATCATTCCAACCTGCTGGTAAATGGAGAACTGGTGTTTCAGTACTCTTTAAATCTTTAAATTCCGTCTGTAGTAATTTTGTGTTCTGTCAGTTTTTCTTATAATTTATGTTACAAAATTATTCAAACCCGCTGGTAAATGGAAAACAATAATTGGTGTTTCAGTACTATTCTGATCTTTGACTTCCACCAAGATATATGTAGTACTATGTCAAATCCTTAGGTAAAAGGAAGAAAATGTATATGCCTTTTACAGTGATAACTTCAACTTGTGTTTTGAGTTATCTCCCTTTGAAAAAAGGAACAAACTGAGTTTAGGGTAAAAAACCCTGCACTTACCATCTGTAAAGTAAATGGCACCAGAGCTGTTTTGTGATTTTTCATCGAAGATCACATATTTTACAAGTTCAGTTTTTTTTAATGTGGAACTCTTTTGTTAAAGAGGTAAAATATACAGTACGGTAGCATACATCCTTAAGTCAAAATATACAGTACAGTAGCATACATCCTTAAGTCTACATGTCACAGTACGGTAGCATACATCCTTAAGTCTACATGTCACAGTAAGGTAGCATACATCCTTAAGTCTACATGTCAAAGTAAGGTAGAATACATCCTTAAGTCTACATGTCACAGTAAGGTAGCATACAT